TGCTGCTTGGCCTGCTGTGTTCATCCAGCCCTGCACCTTGTTGTCTCGGATTCTCCAGCATCTGCAGTTCCTACTATCTCTGATTCCCTTTTTAACCTCTAATGTGTGTGAGCCTGCCCAGGGTTATTCCCTCCTGACATTCCAAACTCTGACCTTACTCCCTCTCAATAGTGTCAAATGATGCCTGATGGTTCCTTTGCCAACTCTACACCCACTCAGTATCTGGTAAGTGATTAAGTTTATTCTATTTCAAGGGCTCAAAATAGTAGGGTGAGGCTGATGACATGAACCACACAATGATACTAATGCAGGAAAAACACCTGATTGGTGATTAGCATTGGTGAGTATCTCTTGCCTTTACAGTAAAAGTAAGTTCTTCAGTTTGTGCTTCAGTCTCTCTATTTCTTTTCTCTCTCTTAAAAACAACTTGTTATAATACTAATGTAAGGAAAGTTAATTACAATGAAGTATAAAGAGTGGGGGCTTCTTCAAGTGTAAAGAGCAGGGATACTACAGTAATTAATCATTAAATTAAATAAAATATGATAGTGATGACAGAATGAGAGATGTATTTCTGTTGCAGCATGTGGAAGCTGTTAGACATCAATGTGATCCAGTGTAAACTCATCTGCAGTAATTGTTCATAACTCAAGGAACTTCAGATCTGAGTTGAGGAGCTGGAATCCAAGCTGAAAATATTGCACCAGCTCAGAGAAGGGGAAAGCTACCTGAACACTTTTCTCCAGGAGTCAGTCACACCCTCAGACTAGTTTATTTGTATTTAGTTCGTGATCAGGGACAAGAGGGTGTGATTACAGGTGAGGCAGGTATAAGAACCCAGAGGGCTTTGTTTGAGGAGCCTCAGTCGCTATAACTGTCCAGCAGTTATGAGATTCTTGCAAACCAGGTAGACGAGAGCTGGGATTGCAGGGAGGATGAGTGAACTTTCATAGCGGCTTGGTCAAGAGAGCCAATCAAGTGGCAGGAGAGAATTTCTTCCTTTCATTGTCACTAGGTCAAAATCCTGAGATTCCATTCCTAACAGCATTGTGGCTGTATCTACACCACATGGACTGCAGTGATTCAAGGTGATGGCTCACCACCAACTTCTCAAGAGCAGTAAGTTATGATAAGGTATTTAAACATAGTCCACAAAGGACCATAGATATTGAACTCCATAATATATATATAATATTTATATATAGCTTGAGGGGGGTCAACGCTGCAAGGATGGATCAAGGTGAGGAGACAAGCTTCATGAATGACCACAGTTGGTGCAGGAATTGAACCTGTGTTTTTATTATTCAGCATCACACACTAGCCATCTCACTAATTAAAATAATTGACTTCCACAGGGTAATTAGCGATGGACAATAAATGATACCTATACCAGTGATATTTGCATTCTATGTAAGGGTTTAAAAAAGTACTAGAACGCTTCTCTGGAGTAAAGATATCTAAGAGGGATAGCATTAATAGTTAGAGGATAGTCACAGAAGAGGTAAGATGATGAGTAGATGAAGAAATCGAGATTGCAGGGAAGGCATGGAAGCAATACTGAATTTGAACATTACCAAGGGGGTTGTTATGTTCTGCAATGTGTTACTTGAAAAGATGGTGGAAGCAGATCCCATAGTAACTTACAGAAAATAACTGAATAAATATTGGAAAAAAATCTATAGGGCCTTTGAGAAGAGAGCAGATTAATTAGCTAACTGTATCTGAGCCAGCATAGACACAATGGTCTAAATTGCCTTTATCTGTTCTACCATTTCAAGAATCTATACCGCAGTTCTCATCGTGGAGGTGAGCATTGGAATCACAGAACCGCTAGTGTAGAACAATTAGAGCCAGTTGTTACTCAAAAAAATGGGCCCCGAGAATAATTTGAAGAATGGATGTTCTTTTGTGTTACTCCTCAAATTAATAGGCTTCTAAAGCATTTATTGGTTATTACAAAAATTAAGATACATTGTGGTATTTATGGCCATAATTCCAAATACAAAGGAAACCTAAGGAAATACCTTGTTAGTTCACCAGAAAATTATACTACAATTCTTAAATGCGCAAACTTTTCAAGTCAGGTTTCATCAAATTCTGAGGTATTTGTCCAAACCCCCAATCTTCTTTTCCCAACTCTGCTACATGAGAATCTGCATCTTTCATAGCTTTACTTTAATCAGCCATTCTCCCTTACCATGCTTTAACAAGGATAATTCTCTAAACACTTGTGGTTTCATTTTGATTGAAATATTAAATCATTCAATTGGTGAGAGTAATAGTGAGATTAATGAAAAAGTCCCCCTTACGGTCATGATATCAAATGACTACATTCCATTCCAGATGTAATTTTGGAAGAAGCATCCTTGAAGGGCATTTAACTTCCATAAAAATGCTACTTAATTCATAATTTTGCACTGTGAGATCTACAGAGGAATGAAAGAAGCCTATGTCTTAATCTCTTATTGACTGAAGCTCTCTGATACAACATTTAATTCCTACTGACTAACCGGACTTTGCAAAAACATACTTATTCATAACAAAGCGAACTTTTACAACATTGTTCATTCAGTCTTTCAGTAGATTCTCACTTAAAAGGTAGAAGTTGTTATGAAGAAATTAAGAACCAATCACTTCGTGAAAGAATTCAGCAGAAACATCTTTATCCAGACCGCAATGAGCAGTCCACGTCCAAATGCTGCAAGAACTGGACAATATCCAAGTTTGGGAAGACAATTGGCAAGTAACATTTGCACTACACAATAACAGCAATGACCATCTCCAAAAAGAGCGAACACAATCATTGTTCCTTGATATTCAATGACATTATTGTTGCCAAATCTCCCACTATCAACATCCTAGAGATTACCATTGACCAGAAACTAAACTGGATTAGTCATATCAAAAGGAGGTCAGAGGTGAGTAACTCACCTCCTGACTCCCCAGAACTCCCCACTTGGCTGGATGATTACAGCTCCAACAACACTCGTGAAACTTGACACCATCCAGGTCAAAGTAGCCTGCTTGATTGGTACCACATCCACAGCTATTCAGAACCGCCACCACTGACACTCAGTAGCAGCAGTGTGTACTATCTATAAGATGCACAGCAGAAATTCACCAAGGCTCCTTAGACAGCACCTCCCAAAACCATAACCACCTCCATGTAGAAGCACAAGGGGAGCAGATACATGGGAACACTACCACCTGCAAGTTTCCCTCCAAACTACATACCATCCTGACTTGGAAATACATATCTGTTCCTTTAGTGTCACTCGGTTAAAATTCTGGAACTCCCTCCCTTACAACGTTGTGGGTCTGTCTACATCATAGTTCAAGAAGGCAGCTTACCACTACCTTCTCAAGGGTAACAACAGAAGGGCAATAAATGTTGGCCCAGCCAGTAACACCCACATCCCATGAATGAGTCTAAAAAATGTGGGACTCGCTGCCACATGGTGTGGTTAAGACAAGTAACGTAGTCACATTTAAAGAGAAACTTGATAATTCCAGAAGTAGAAAGAGATAGAACATTATATTGTTATAGTGAATTAAAGAAATCTAGAAGGAAGGCTCTTGTGAAGTATAAATGTCAGAATGGATCGATGGGGCTAAATGAGCAATTTCTGTGCTGTACATAATTAGTCATTCTATGTATCCATTGTAATCCCTGACCTGTAAGCATCCTGTGTTAATGTGCAGCACTGTCTGACAGAGTGACTAGATTAGGTATTCCTGGCTGGTTTACCTGGAGTAATGCATAGCCTGGTGATCAGCTATGTGAAAGTAGAAATCAGTGGTGTGCTTCATTTCATTTGAATATCCACTCTCCTCAATATAATGCCCAACAGGGTAACAGTAAACACCGTCCACCAAATTGCTATCATCGTATTCACAGCAGCGATCGTGTAAAGGTCCATTTCCTGAAAAGGATAAAAAAAAGTCACGCTTTTCTGAGTTGAGCAGTGCATTCAGAATTCAATCATTGCCAAGGAAATACAGTCCTAATGTGGAGGAGATGCCACCTTTCAAATGAAATGTTGAACTGTGGCTCTGTCTGCTCTCTAAAAGTGGATGTAAAGACTCCACAGTTACTAGTTCAAAGAATTGCAGGGAGGTTCTCCCTGGTAAACCAACCAATAATTATCCCTCAACCAATATCAGTAAAACAGATTATCTGATCATTATCACCTTGGCAGCAGCAAGCTCCCATGAACAGTCACAAAATAAATGACAACTAACTGTATATTCTTAGTACTAAACCAAAATACTGCAGAATGTGAAATCTGAAATAAATAACAGAAAATACTAGAAATACTTGGAAATTCTGATAGCAGTATGGAGTGGATGTTTCATTTAGGGCTTTCACAGTTTTATTATGGATGATTTTTTAAAATGATAGATTTTTTAAAAATTCTTTCATGGAATGTGGGCAAGTCTGGCATTCATTGCCCATCCCTAATTGGCCTTGATCTGAATAGATTACTCGACTGCTTCAGAAGGCACTTAAGAATCAATTACATTGCTGTGGGCCTGAGTCACATGTAGGACATACCAGGTAAGAATAGCAGATTTCCTTCCCTAATGGACATAAGTAAACCAGATGGATTTATCCAACAGTTGACGATAGTTTCATTGTCAACATTACTAAGACTAGCTTTTAATTCCAGATTTATTAATTGAAATTAAATTCTGCCAGTCACTGTGGTGGGACATGAACCAGGATCCTCAGAACCTTTGTCCGGGCCATCTCCCCAGAGCAGGCCACAGGGAAAGTTTGCATGCTTTCCTTTATCGCTGCAGGAAAAGTGTTTGTATCTGCCTGTTAACATTTCCTCTGAAAGGCAGTATCTCCATCAGCGAGCATTCCTTCAGAATTATACTGGGACTGCCAGCCTGCATCATGTGGTGAAGTGTCTGGAGTTAGGATTGAACTGAAGACCTTTAGATATAGCAAGAACACCAACCACTGAGCCACAGCTGATTCTCAGTAAGTTTGTATAATTTTACACATTACATTAATCCCGACAGAGACAAAATATTCAGATTCCACTTCAACTACAGGAATTATGCACATGATTGAATCATTAAATGATAGACCTCAGAAGCAACCCATTTGGCCCACTGCACTGTGCTGGCTTTTTCCCTAGATGTTTTGCCGATTATCTTAAATCTATTTCTGTTAGTTGCCAACTGCTGGATGTTTTTAAGGTGTTTTCGGTCACAATTATCTAATATAAGCAGTCAACAATTTGTAAGTTTCTTGAACTTGTTAAAAATTGAAACAAGGGGAGGCAATGGCCTAGTGGAATTATCGCTGGACTGTTAATCCAGAGGCCCAGATAACATTCTGGGGACCTGGGTTCAAATTCCGCCACAGCAGATGGTGGAATTTGAATTCAATAAAAATATCTGGAATTAAGAATGTAATGATGACTGTGAATCCATTGTTGGGATTGTTGGGAAAAACCCACCTGGGTCACAAATGTCCTTTACCTGGTCTGGCCTACATGTGACTCCAGACCCACAGCAATGTGGTTGACTCTGAACTGCCCTCTGGGTAGTTAGGGATGGGCAATAAATGCTCCCTAGCCAGTGACACCCTCATCCTGTGAATAAATAAAGGAAAAAATATAAAGTGGCCTTTTGGATAAGAAATATCAGTAAATTAGATTTTAAAAACTATACGACCATGACAATTGAGGGTGTCACTGATACCAGATGACGAACAGGCTGTGTGTTGGTCTAAGTGGTTAGTACTGCTGCCTCACAGCACCAGGGACCCGGGTTCAATTCCAGCCTCAGTCTGTGTGGAGTTTGCACATTCTGTGTCTGCCTGGGTTTCCTCCGAGTGCTCTGGTTTCCTCCCACAGTCCAAAAATGTGTAGGTTAGTGGATTGGCCATGCAAAATTGCCCATAGTGTCCAGGGATGTATAGGTTAGGTGGGTTAGCTAAGGGAAATGCAAAGTTACAAGGATAGAGTAGCGGAGCAAGTCAGGGTGGGATGCTGCTCAGAGAGTCAGTGTGAACTTGTTGGGCCGCTGGGCCTATTTCCACACTGTAGGGATTCTATAGTTAAACTTATCAAGGAGGTATCCTGCTCCCTAGCTAGGGGGGGTTAGGGAACTCTTCCCTATACATCATCCTCTTCCTCTAGTCCATCTTTCATTCAGCGAAGACAGCTCTCTGAGGACCGCCTGATGTGAATTCAGAGAAACATAGAAGATAGGATTAGTCCTTTTGACCCCTCGAGCCTGTTCTGTCATTCAATATGATTATGGCTGATCATCAAGCTCAATATCCTAAAATCACCGTCCCCCATATACCTTTAGCCACAAGAGCTATGTCTACCTCCTTCTTGAAAACCTCAACCACTTTCTCTGGTAGTGAATTCCACAGGCTCACCACTCTCTGGGTGAAGCAATTTTCCTCATCTCAGTCCTAAAATGTTTACCTGTTATCCTTCAACTATGACCCCTGGTTCTGGACTCCCCCAACACTTCCCTGTCTCAATTTACAGCCATTCAAATAATAATCTGCCTTGCTATTTTTGCTACCAAAGTGGATAACCTCACATTTATCCACATTATACTACATTTGCCCACTCGCTCAGCCTATCCAAATTACACTGCAACACTTCTGCACCCTCTTCATTGCTCACCTGCCCACCCAGCTTTGTGTCATTTCCAAATCTTGCTATATTACATTTAGTTCCCTCATCTAAATCATTAATATATGTTGTGAATAACTGGTGTCCTAGTACTGATCCCTGCAGTACCCTGTTTGCCATTCAGAAAAAGATGCATTTATTCCTACCCTCTGTTTCCTGTCTACTGACTAATTTTCTATCCATCTCAATACACTAACCCAGTCCCATGCACTTTAATTTTACACATAAATCTCTTATATGGGATTTTGTTGAAAGCCTTCTGAAAGTCCAAATAAACCATATCCACTACCTGTCCCTCATCAATTCTATATGTTACATCCTCGAAGAATACCTGTAGAATCTGTCAAGCATGATTTCCCTTTTATAAATGAATGTTGGCTGTGTCTGATTCTACCACTATTTTCTAAGTGCTCTGCTATAAAATCCTTCATCATGGAGTCCAGCACCTTCGTCACTACCAATGTCGAAGCACAGGTCTACTCTCTCCCACTTCAAATAGTGGGGTTACATTACCCAGTCTCCAATCTGTGGGAATTGTTCCACAGTCTAAAGAATCTTGGAAGATGACCGCCAACACATCCACTATTTCTAGGGCCACTTTTTTAACTACTTTGAAATATATACTTTTAGGCCCTGAGGATTTATCAGCCTTCAATCACATCAATTTCTCCCACACCATTTCTCTACTAATACAGATTTGCTTCAGTTCCTCCCTGTCACTAAACTCTGAGTTCCCCAACATTTCTGGTACATTTTTCATGTCCTGTTTGGTGAAGACAGAAGGAAAGTATGAGTTTAGTTCATCAACTATATCTTTATTCCTCATTATAAATTCCTCAGTTTCTGGCTGTAAGGGACTTACATTAATTTTCACCAATCTTTTCCCTATGCTCTGAGCACTTATTGTTAATTCATATTTCTAGGTGGCATGTAATTTGCACTGTATCAATCAACTATCTGAACCCTTTTGGCCAATGGCCATGGGACAGCTACTCAATGACATTCGATGACCATTGTCCCCTTGACTACCTTTCATCTGAGGGTTAGTTTACCATTCTTTCTAAGAACAAATACTTTTTACACACTGATAATATGGCCAGATAAATTGTTAATGCTAGAACAATGGGCATCATAGCCACTATGTTTCTTGTTATTCTTCTCTTTGTCTTCATATGCTAGAATTTTGAAAAGCTAGAATTGCTGTAATTGCTGTAATAGTTGTTAAATGAAATCTCATGTTACACAGTAGATACTAGGCTGCTTGGCCTGCTGTGTTCATCCAGCCCTGCACCTTGTTGTCTCGGATTCTCCAGCATCTGCAGTTCCTACTATCTCAGATACTAGGAAAGTTCTGTTTTTAAAGAACCCTGATTTTCAACAGTCTGTTAAAATCTTTCATATTTTTAGATTAAAAATGTACTCACTTTTCAAAATGTACTCACCTCCCCTACCACAAAGGATAATGTCCCTTTTATTACACAAACTACAGTCTGTTTATACTGACAGCTCAGTGTCAGTGCCCAGTGTCAGGTGGTATCCAGCCTTGGTCAGTGTCCAGTGAGTGTTCCCAGTTTAGGTCAGTGCCCTGTGTTTTTTCAGTGTCTGTTATATGTCACATGTCAATCAGTGACAAATGTATGTACCCAGGTTCAGTCAGAGCCCTCTGTGTGTAAGTTCTCAGTGCCAGTCAGACTCCAGTGTCAATTAGAGCCCAGTGTCAGTTTTAGTCAGTGTGCTGTTTTCTCAGTGTCTGTTATATGTCAAATGTCAGTGACAAATGTATGCACTCAGGTTCAGTCAGTGCCCAGCATCAGTGATCAGTGCAGTCAGAGCCCAGTGTCAGCCAGTGCCTACTGTCAGTCAGTGCCAAGTGTTAGTCAATGCCCAGTTTCAGTCAATTCCTAGTACCTAGTGTCAGTCAGAGCTGGTGTCCAGTGTTGGTTTCAATCAGTGCACTGTGTTCTTTCAGTGTCTGTTATGCATCAAATGCCAGTCAGTGACAAATGTATGTACCTAGGTTCAGTCAGTGCCAACTATCAGTGATCAGTGTCAATCTGTGCCCAGCATCAGTGACCATGTCAAAGCCCAGAGTCAGTCAGTGCCCAGTTTCAGTCATTTCCTAGTGCCCAGTGTCTGCCAATGCCAAATGTCAGTCAGTGCCTAGTATCAGTAGGAGCGCAGTGTCAGTCACAGTCCAGTGTCAGCACCCACTGTCAGTCAGAGCCCAGTACCCGGTGTCAGTCAGTGCCTAGTGCCAATATCAGTCATAGCCCCGAAACGTCAGCCTTTCTGCTCCTATGATGCTGCTTGGCCTGCTGTGTTCATCCAGCTCTACACCTTGTTGTGCTCAGTGTCAGTCAGAACCCAGTGTCAGTCAGTGCCTCATGTCAGCCAGAGTCCAGTGTCAGTCACATCCTAGTGTCAGTCAGAGTCCAGTGTTAGCCAGTGCCCAGTGCCAGTGTCAGAGCCTAGTGTCATTCAGAGCCCAGTGTGTCAGTGTCAGAGCCCAGTGTCAGTCAGTGTCCTCTGGCGGCCTGCAGTTACGGTGCTCAGTACCTTCCCAGATGAATTTTCCGCCGATCTTTTTGGCGAACTTGAACCAGAAGGTTTCTCTGCTGGGTTCCTGCAGTAGGACCTCAGCGGTCCAAAAGGACGGTTCATTGATTGCACTGCTCTCCGCTACCATGGGCAGCGCTCGCCCGGGATCCCAGTGTCCCAGCTCCGGCCTGGATCCGCACAGAAACAGCTGCACATCTTGCTCTTCCACGGTCACCACCAGCCCAAACCTCAGCAACATTGCGGGGCGGCAAGCCCGGGCCAGAGCGATGCGGAGTCGGGAAACTAAACTCTGGCTCAGGGAGCAGTGAGCTTCCCAGTTTCGGCGTCTGTCCCCGGCGCTCACTGGGCTCCCTGGAGGCTGGGGAAGGGACTGTGTGATTGGAACTCACCCAACCAACCCAAAATAACCCTGAAATATTTCCAACCAGGGAGCCACGTGAAAGCAAGTGCCAGGACTGCTCAAAAACTGATTTGAACAGTTGCTCAGTGCTCACTGCCATTCCTGTATTTCCCCTCCTAAACATTTCTCCAGCTTTACTGTGACTTTGTTGTGTTTTGCTGTTTTAATCGCTTCCAGTTTTACTCCCAGAATGCAACTGTCTGATCTTCGTTCTCAAACTATATCTTTCTTTCAGATGTATCCATTTTAAGATTGACCCCGCTCCTGGAAAGGTTAACTGAGGAAAGTGATCCAAATGTACAGGTAACCCCTTCTGCCAAAATCCACAGTAAAGCAATGAGGAGAGAGGGAGCAGGCAGACCCTGGGTTAGGGTACTCCTAACAGCCTCTAGGATCTGTGGAGCATGAAACAAAGTTAACATTTCAAATCCACTGTTCCAAAGAATCATTTTGGATTTGAAATGTTAACTCTGTTTCTCTCTCTCTGCAGATGCTGCCAGACCTGCTGAGTTTCCCCAGCACTTTATCTTTGTAGTGATGCAGGTCATGTTCATGTTCTGTAAATAGGTGCACTACTGCAACAAGTGTAACATTGTTTAAACAGGACTCTTCTAGTTAGACCAGAAAGATGGATAAGGTATTTTACTAGTTCAGTGATGCTAGGCACTAACAGGTGACACTGACATTGATCAATAATAAGTGGGCACTTACAGATACTGGGGACATACAGACACCAGTCAGTGACACTAGTCACTGACACTGGTCACTAACCGTGGGCATTAACAGATACTGGTCAGGCGCTGGTCACTAACAGACCACCAATGCCAAAACAGCAGAGTGTTTCAATCCAGTGAACTGCTGGAACCTGATACCAATGAGCGCCGAGAGAGAATAACACATTCACAAACAGCATAGAGAATGGAACAAATGTCACACAGACAGAATGGTTAGCTCTTTGTGAATAAGTATTTATTGATTCACCTACAAAATATTTTAGACTATCACAAAAGATATAACCTTTGACTTTCTGCAGCAATGTGAATTAAGTAATAGAAAAATCAAGACGTATTCAATCTTTTAATAATGAATTGTTTCAATGCCAAGTTATCAATCACAGTGAGCGAACTTGTAAGTAGATGCCTCGTGTTTTAAGGAGTCATGCTGACCTGTTTTACATCAAGCAGTACTATTCAGACACCCTGAGTGATAGCACTGCCTTCATACACACAAAAGAAGCAAGGACCCTTTACAACAGCTGTTCACCACCTCCCACACATCATACTAAAAACACTAAATTCTTCACACTGATTTCATTTTTCAATGAACAGCATCCACAGGAAAAACAATTAAACTTCCAAGTCAGTTTTGCCAAAATACTTGACCTGTCTCAATTCAGATACTGTGTTCAGTTCTTAGCATCTTAGAATGGGTGGGCAATGTGAGAAAAGAAAATCAGAGTGGCCCACTCCAGTTTTCCCAGCATTTTGTTTAAAGAGACAGATGATCATAACGAGTGAGTAATTCTTGACCCTTTTTGATCCCAGTCAATTTTCCTCAAAGCACCATGAGGAAATTCTGACATAAATAAGCTGCAGTGAAATCATCTGGAAATCACATCACCTTTCGTCCTCGACCTTCTCCTAGATGTCAATGGATCCCAACCATATCCACCATTTCCCACTGCCAAATGTGCCCCTGAACAAAATCCAACCCTTGCTGCTTTAAGACAGTCAAACCTATCATTAATTATTTGTCAGCCTCTTTAATATCTTGTGTGAATTAATGGAACAAAACCCAGGATCAAGGAACCCTCTCCAAGTAAAAATATTCTTGCTGTCCTACATGAGCAGCTTTATTGCATGGCAAGCAGTATTTCCGATAAGTCAGGTCTGTCAGTTGGGTTGCTGCTGGGATGGAAGAAGATCACGGTCCCATTTTGATTCAAACCAAAGTCACCACCAAGCTGTCGGGGAAGAAAAATAAATGATGAGATACCCCTTCGAATCTTGGGGGATGCGATTTAGAGAAGCAAGGCCCAACCCTCACTTAGATACCAGCACAGATCAGAAAGGAAGTTCTGATGAAAGGTCATCGACCTCTGTTCCTCTATCCACACCGATGCTGCCTCACCTGCCAAATATTTTCAGTATTTTCTGCTTTTATTTCGGAAAGAGTTTCTGTAATGCTGCGCTGTCAGAGGTGTGCTGTCTTTCAATTGGCATGTTAGTCCGAGGCCTCAGCTGCCAGTTTGGGTGGATGTTAAAGATCCCACAGCTATTTTGATCCTACTTTGAAGAAGAGCAGGGAGTTCTCCTTGGTGACCTGGTCAATATTTATCCCTCAATTGACATCACAGTAGAACATATTAAAATATCTTTATCTGCTGTTTATGGGAGCTTGCAGGATGCACATTGCTGCCGGTTTCCTACATTATGACAGTGACTACACTTCAAAAAATACTTGCTTATCTGCTAAATGATGAGATGTTTGGAACTTGTGAAAATTGCTGCACAAAGCAATTCTATCTTTTAAAGTGTCTTTCATGACCTCAGGATGTCTGAAAGCACTTCACAGGGAAATAAGATTATCTCAAATCTGGTTACCAACACTTCTGCAAGTGGGAAACAGCTTCTCTCTACCTAATCTATCAAAACCCACTTGTCATTTGGAACACGTCTATTATATGCCTCTAAACCATCAATGGAGAAATTCAGTTAACTACTAAAAAGATGATCTAATGACAGATAAAATTGCCTGAACTTAATATACTAGCGAATAAAATATTTGTGTGTATCAGATAATAGCACATTTTGAGAATTGCATTTATATAGCACCATTTACAATCACTGAGTGTCCCAAAGCACCTCCAATCAAACAAGACATTTTTGAACTGTGCTCACTCCAAAGTAATGTAAGAAATGCAGTACCCAATTGAACACTGCAAGGTCTAACAAACAACAATACAGTAATAACAGGATAATCTGCTTTAATGATGTTGTTGAGGAAAGTCAATAAGCCAGAGCACTGGACTTGCTCTTCTTCAAAGACTGCAGTGGGATCTTTCATGGTTGGCCTTGGCTGAACACCTCATCAGGAAGTTGGCGCTCTGACAATGTAGCACCCCTCCAGATTCATACCAGGTCTGTCAACCCAGATTTTGTGCTCAAGTCACTGGAGCAGGACTTGATCAAGTGACTGCACTTCCAAAGGCAGCCAAGGTTGACACTTGTATTCACAGCAAGGGACTGGAACATTAGGAAATTCATGCATGTTGTATCTTTTGTCATTCCCTTTTCAATTATTACAGTTCACAGCTGATCACATATAGCAGCAAAGGAAGAAGGAACAGCTAGAAAGATCTTGGCAAAAGACTGCAGTCTGTGGTGCCTTATTTTGAAAATGCCTGTTCAGATGCTGGAGGTGTTCAACATTATGCCAAGTGTCAAGGATGTCAGTACATAATTTTTATTAGGTTATTTAATTGAGGTGTGCATAACTGACCTGGTGAGGATCATCCACAATGTTTTCTATTTTCTTTGGCAAGGAGCGACTGCAGACTATTTGTTCAGCATAGTAGGTAAGTACACTGACATTCCAGACTTTTTCAACGGATGCTCCCAAACCAAATGCATGATACAACTACAAAAGAGACAGATGAGATTTAAGTGTTACTAGAACTCTGCGAAGCACAATGGGCATGAGGTTTCACCCCAGTCTGTGGCCTTGCACTTTCCATAAATATGAAGTTTGCTTAACCCTCTAAACCTCTGAGATAACAATGCTCCTTCTTCTTTTGACCTAGGGCATCCCAGATTCTCATCACTTCACACTGATAGCCATGCCCTCAGCTGTTTAGGTATTCAGCTCCAGAATTTCCCCTCTCTAAACCTCTCTGCATCTCCCTCATAAATTGCTTCTTGGACCAAGCTTTCTCTCTCACCTACCCTAATATCTCCTTATGTGCTCAATGTCAAATTTTGCTTAAAGATGGAACACTTGAGGCCTTTTTACAACATTCATAGGTGCTATGAAAATGGAATTTGTCACCATGGATTTCCTCTCCACCTGGGTTATCAGGCAAGTTCTTATATCAGGAAGGTGACCATTCTCCTTCAAACCTGGTAGTTCTCAATCAGTCGCCCAGCAAATGGGTTTAAATTCTCACCTTTTCAAGAATCTAGAACTAATCTGAATTGAGCAAGATCAGGTTTAGTGATTCCAAGGAGAAAATATCCCAAATTAGTGACAGTTTAGTAATCTTGAGGCCCATGTAATTTTTTCATTCCATGTAGATCTTGAGAGAGCAGCCTCCAGATGATAGCCCAACTGGAGTATGCCATTCTCCATAGCTCTTTCTTTAAGCCTATAACTACGGCTTTAGTCAAGGGGTTCTGGAAGGCAGAGAACCATAACTTTGTTGTGATCGAGTCATACGGCACAGGAGGCCACTTGGCCCATTATACCTGAGCCAGCTCTTTGAAAGCGCTATCCAATTAGGTCCACTCCCCTGTTCTCTCCTCAAAGCCTTGCAAATGTTTCCTTTTTTAAATATTTAACTAACTCTCCTTCCAATTTAATATTGAATCTGTTTCCACCATAGTTTCAGGCAGTGAATTCGAGATCAGAACAGTTCACTAGGTAAAAAACATTCTCCTCATCTCCTTCCTGGTTCCTTTACCCAAATTACCTTAAACCTCTTGTTCCCAAAGCCTGAAACTGTTGTTAGCAACTCTCCAAGACCATTCATGATTGTAAGTACCTGTATGATATCTTCTCAACTTCCTTACAGCCAGCTAACTTCCCAGCTCAAACTTGCAGAATGTTGCAGCATGCCTAGGTACCTCAGAGTTTGTGGGGTAAATGATGCAATCACCCACAGAACTGTTTGGGCAGCTTTTGCTGTCAGACATGGTGGGGTGAGCACTAAAGGCAAACAAGCTGGAACAATAGCATAATGTCACAGACAGCTTTAGACACAAGGACTCAAATTTTAAAATAGAGAGGTTATTGGACTGGGTATCAATGTGGGTCAGTGAGCACAGAGCGGTGACTGAGCGAAGCTTGGTGTGTGTTAAGATAAGGGCAGCTACATCTTGGATGAGTTCCAGTTTGTGAAGGGTGTACGGAGGCTGTGAAAACCTGCCAAGACATCATGGGAATCGTCAAGTCTGCAGATGTGAGAGTTCCAGCAGCTGAAGAGCTGGGGCAGCGATGGGTAATGTTTCAAAAGTGGATGTTGGTGTCCTTGGCGACGGAGTGGATATGGAGTAGGAAGTTTCACTCAGGGTCCAGTAGGGCACTATAAAAGTAGAATAGTTGTAGTGTGTGGAATGCAGTAACTATAGAAATCAGTTAGAACCAGAGAGAAGTAAACCTGCTCCAGAGACTTAACTCTTTCTCAAACAGAGACAGAGTTATACAGCATGAAAACGGATCCTTCAGTCCAACTCTCCCACACCAACCAGACATCCCATTCTGACCTAGTCCCATTTGCCAGCATTTTGCCCATATCCCTCCAAACCCTTCCTATTCATTTAACCACCCAGATAGCTTTTCAAGGTAGTAATTGTACCCACCTCCACCATACATGATCAAAAACAGTTAAAATGAAGCATCTCAGCAGTGGAGTTAGAAAGGAGAGAGAGATGGACAGAGTGAGAAAACAAACACAAAACAAAAACATGGGAGAGATGAAAGTGTACCATGAAAAGCAACAGAGGGAAAAAAATTGAAGTAGATGTGAGAAAAGAAACTCAACAGGGCTGGCAGCATCTGTTGAGAGAAAGCAATGTCAATGTTTTGGATCCAGTAACCCTTCATCAGACTCTTCTACTTTTCACAGATGCTGCCGAACCTGCTGAGTTTCTCCAGCTATTTCTGTTTTTGTTTCAGATTCCCAGCATCCACAGTTCTTTACTTCTTATAAGAAAAGAAGCTTGGGTCTGTAAGAGGAAAACTGAACTGCTACAAAGTTTCAGATTCATTTGTTTAAAAAAACTTCTGTCTGAAGCGAATTCTCAAAAACATACTTTAGCTTAATACGAAACATAAAGTTAGTATGGGGTCAAATTGCTTCAGAGATTCCAAGCGAGAGACAGACATGTAGAATTAATCACTAACAGGATATGAAGGTATTCACCAGGAATAAAGGATTTCAGATATGTGAAGATTTAATAGAAGTGTTGAAAACAATGTTTGGATGTTATAGATGGGGTTAACTGTTTCCACTGGCAGAAGGATCAGTAATCAGATGACACAGATGTTACATAATGTAGGAGAATTGTATTTTTACACAGTGGGTTTTTGTGATCTGGAAAACACTGCTTGAAAAGGTGGTTGAAGCAAATTCGAAAGAAAAACTTTTAAAAGGCGATTGAATTGGTAAAGTTGCAGGGCCACTCAATAGAGCAGGGAGAGTGGCATTATTTGGGTAGCTCAGATAAACAGCTGTTCCAGGCACAATGGGCTAGCAATTCACCAAGGCATGTTCAATAGCGCCTTTCAAATCCATGACTTTACCACCTAGGACAAGGACAGCAGATATATGGGAACACCACTGCCTACATGTTCTCCTCCAAGTCTCATACTATCCTGACATAGAAATATACCTCCATTCCTTCACCATCACTTGGTCAAAATCCTGGAATGCCCCTGTACCTAAGACCGCACAGATTCCTCAAGCACAGATAATCAATAAATACTGGCCAAGCCAGTGATCTTCACATCCTGGAAATGAATAAATAATTTTTAGAAATAAAATGACTCTCTTTGAATGCAGTAGAATGCTATCAGATCTCCTGAGATTGCTGTGTTTACGTTGGGAACTGTGGAAAGTGTGAAAGTACCTGGCGACTGGGATCCAACAACATGTCATAGGGACACTTTGTCTCCTGAAGCCACTGGAGTGCACCTTCACGGCAGCCAAACGAGATCACTAGAACCTTCAGTGGCACAGCATCCAGACTGCTCTGCACCAAACATAACAAAAACCAAGAATTAACAGAGCTTCCCAATCAATAACAGCTTGCATTTATATAGCACCTCAGAATGATATCAGCAATGTTGCCTTAAATTTTCTTTGCTATGTGTTGCCTATTCATTGCACTGTGTAGTATGATCGTAGTTTAGCAAAATATTGGTTATCAGACAAAACCCCAAGTCACTTGAAGAGATATTGGGACAGGTAATCAAAGGCTTGGGCTAAAGAAGTACATCTTAGAGGAAGGCAGAGAGGTAGCAAAGTTTAAAGAGGGAACCCAAAGAAAAGGGCCAAAGGCACAGCTACCAAAGATGAGGCAATGTAAATAAGGTATACTCAGCTATGAAGACTCCTGGTCCCGTAATGCCTCTATATATATATATATATATATATATATCCTCATTCACATTTTCAAATCTCTCCATTGCCTTAGGTCTCTTCATCTCTGGGCCTTCCTCCAATTTCACAATCATCTACCAGATTTCTATAGCTCACTATCCTGACCTGCCTCTGAATTACAGAACTGTTAGGGAGTAGAGAAGAGGCCGTTTGACCCATTGTGTCTGCACTAGATCTCTGAATGAACATTATGACTTAGCACCATTCTCCTGCCTTTCCCCCATAACCCTGAATATTGCTTCAGTTTAAATATTGTACTCTTGAATGCCTCAATTGATCTTGCCTCCAACACCCTCCAGGCCATGTGTTCCATCCCTGAACCATGTGTTGTTTGATAAGATTTTCTCACACCACATTTGCTTCTTTTGCAACCTGTGCCCTCTCATTCTCAATGCTTTTATGACAGGGAACAGTTTCTTCCTATTTACTCTGCCAAGACCCCTCATGATTTTCATAAAAATCACAATCACTGAATCACAAGATTCCAGTTCAAGTCAGCTCCAAATCTTGAACACAAAAATTGAGGCTGGGTCTCTGGTACGGTAAAGTCCTTTACTGTTAGAAGCACAGAAAATAGGAGCAGGAGTAGGCCATTCAGCCCTTTAAGCCTGCTCTACCATTCAATATGATCATGGCTGACCTGTGAGATGCCATCTTACAGATGAAACATTAAACTAAGGCCCTGTCTACCTCCTTGAATGCATGTAAAAGTTTGAATGGCGTTATTTTGCCCACAGCAGGAGAGTTTTCCCTGATGACTTGGTCAATATTTATCGCACAATCAACAATGCTGAAACAGATTGTCCGGTTATTATCATGTTGCTGTTTGTAAAACTTTGCGACAAGAATATTAGCTGCTGTGTTACCTCATTACAACAGTGACAAAACTTCAAAGAATACTCTAATAAAACAAAGAACTGGAGATGCTGAGATCTGAAACAAAAACAGAAATTGCTGGTGAAATTGGCAGCATCTGTGGAAGAAAAGCAGAGTTAATGTTTCGAGTCCAGTGACTCTTCATCAGAATGATGTATGCAGATTTTAATCGCACTCTGATTGATGGTCATGTCTTAAGCTGCCTAGGCATGAAGCTATGGAATTCTTCTCCTAAACACTCTACCTCTTCTTTGTCCTCTAAAACCTACATCCTCGATTAAGCTCTTGGTCATGTATCCTAACTCTTGAACTGGTTCAGTGTCAAATTCTGTCCATGATGTGCCCTGGGCATTAAAAGTGCTGTACAAATGCAAGTGGATGTTTTTCAATACATTTATAGTGCTACAGATGATTCCCTTATAACAGCAAATTAAAGCTGGACATTAAAAATACAATATAAAAACCGAAAGAACTGCAGACGCTGTTAATCAGAAACAAAAACAAAGTTGCTGGAAAAGCTCAGCAGGTCTGGCAGCATCTGTGAAGGAGAAAACAGAGTTAACGTTTCTGGTCCGGTGACCCTTCCTCAGAACTGTTGTGATTAAAAATACAATATTCATATATTCCTTGACATTTAATGTTATTACCATCATTAAATCCCCCACTATCCATATCCTGGAGGTTAACATTGTCTAGAAACTGAACTGCACTGGCCATATAAACACAGTGGCTACAAGAGCAGGTCAGAGGCGAGGAATACTGCAGCACGTAACTCACCTGACTCCTCAAAGCCTAAACACCATCTACAAGGCACAAGTCAGAAGTATGATGGAATACTCCCACTTGCAGCTCCAACAACACTCGAGAAGCTTGATGCCACTGAGGATAAAACAGGCCACTTGACTGGCATCCCATCTGACATCTTCAACATTCATTCCCTTCACCAACGCACAGTAGCAGCAGTGCAGACTATCTAAAAGATGTACTGCAACGTTTCACCACATCTTCTTAGACAGCATTATCCAAACCCAGGAGCTCTGCTGTCTGGAAGGACAGGACAGCAGATACATGGGAACACCACTACCCTGAAAGTTCCCCTCCCTGCCATCCACCATCCTGACTTGGAAACATATCAAAAAATATGTTCCTTCACAGGTTGCTGTTCAATTCCCTCCCTATCACTACCGCAGGGTCCCAACTGCAGTGGTTCAAGATAGTGGCTCACCACCACCTTCTCTAGGCCAATTAGTGATGGGCAATTAATATTGGCCTAGCCAGCAATGCCCACATCCCAGGAAAGAATTAAAAACTCCCATGTTGTTGGGAAACCTGATATCTTGCCTCTGTGAGGGTAAATGATGGGAATTGGAGAAGTGGCCTTAATTGTACGTACTCCCACAAAACTCTGAAATAATTAAATATTGAATCAGAAATGTTGAAAACAAATGTTGCTTTTCGGAGACCACTCAAGAAGATGAAATCCATCACTGGTATGCACAATTTATTCAGATACCTTCAGTATTGGCCAACACCAGTTAGCAGGGGATGAAGTAGGTGAGTTAACTGTACCATAACTAGGGCCAAACTGTTCGTCTCTGCCCAAAATGGCCACAGTTAACATTTACAACAGTTTGCCTTACTTGTCTGATTTTAAGGAACTGCTTAATTTAGAGTGAATTGTACCTGATTCTTCTGAAGCTGTGCCAAATGATCTCGTCATGGTAGTCATGCAAAATGTCTCAGCAAGACAAGCAACAGCTTCTCCCGATGCTGGAGGATCTCCTCAAGTTGAACTTCCCTAAAATGGACATGAAAAATGAGGAGAAGCCAGGTTAAAACAGCGTACCTACTTACTACGCACGCTTCCCACGAAAGTGGGAATTCAGGGACTAAAGAGATTTCCCAAAGGAGGCGCAGAGATCTGAAAAGATGGAATCTACTTGGAAATTTAGAGGGGAAGAGTTGGATTTCAAGTGGAAGGGTTGTGAAATTTAAATTGATGAACTTTGATGTAAAGTTAAAAGTTTTTTAAAAAAATGTATTCTTTGATAGAATGGGCCAAAACCAACACTTGTTTCCCCATGCCTTATTGTCTTTGATGTGAGTGACTTGCTCGGATATTCCAAAGAGTTAAGAGACAACCACGTTACTATACATCTGGAGTCACATGTAGGCCAGGCTAGTAAATGGCAGATTTCCTTTTTACAAGGACATCAAGATGAACTAGATTTACAAAAATCAATGAAGTTTCATTGTCACCATTACCAGGACTAGGTTTCAATTCCAGATTTTAATAAAACTTAAATTCCACCAATTGCCTTAATGTGATTTGAACCCATTTCCTGCTAGTGTTAATGTAAGCCTCTGAATTATTAGTAGTGACATTCCTACTATACCTGCCACCCACAATCTATTAAAGGCTCCAGTTGCCTCTCCTCAATCCTGACTTCGCTTCTGCTTCTGTCAAAGTTTGGATCTCTTTAGGTGAGCAGACAATATATTCTCAATTGCTGCCTACTTAATTTACGAAAATAGGCATGTTTTCAAAAGGATTATTATGTGGTTAATTGGCAATTTTTTTCGACCATGGATGTGGAAAGAATTTTCCAGGATATTTTCTACAGTGTACCCAGAATTAGAATGAGCGCTTACCTCCCACTTCTCGCTTCAGTGAATGTCATGTGCCCAGGAACCTGTGTTCCCAATTTCAACTGGGCCTGTAAACAGTTGGCCTTTAATCCGGCATCCACCTCACTCAGGAAGCTGTTCCACTCCAGCTAGGATCACAGAGACAAAACGGGTACCAGTTAGTGTGACGGGCGTGTGCTAACTGGAAAATCAACTTGGTCCCCTGTGCGATCCAAGCTCATGCATCTCATTAGGAATGGACCTGAGTCACTGGGCCACAAATGACTTGGATATGTATAAACTCCAGGAATATCCTATCAATTCCAATATCATAAGGGCTGCAGTTCCTTGAGAGGACCACTACAATGTGCACATTCGACAACCAGGGGATGGCAATAATGCCATCCTTGCCAATAGTACCCAAATCCCAAGAACAAACAAGTCATCAATAAAAGAAGATGCTCTGATTTGATGACCGTGCAAAAGCAAGGAATAAAAGGACTGACTGACTTATTGCAAGTGAATTAGCCATTTACATTACAATAAGGGCTACAATTCAAAAGTATTTCATTGACTTCAAAGTGCTTCATGTCTTTCCAAGGATGTGAAAGGAGCTATATAAATTCAAACACATTCATTCTTCTTGAGGTTCTAGATGGCTAATTCTTCAAAGTGTCTTCAATTGTCGTCAGCAAGTCTTGGTGGTTGTAGAGTACGTTACAGTTTCAATCAATGGATGTTTAGATTACTACAGAAATTGTGATGATCACAGAGACTTGGGCAGGACTGAGTATTGAATATTTCTGAATATAAAGTCTACAGGAAAGACAGAAAGGAAGGAAAGGGGGATGGATGGTTGTTTTGTTTAACAGGAAGTTTGCTGTTCTGTAGAGAAAAGATGACCCAGCAGGGTCAGGGTAAAACCTATTTGACTCAAGCTAAGGAAAAAAAAGCTGTAATTACATTGGTCGACATAGCCTTCAGATCACTCACTAGCAAGAAAGATGTAGAGGAACAAATTTACAGGGAAATAACAGGTGAAAAAAATTATAGAGGAGTTATAATGAGGGATTTTAAATGTCTTAAAAATGGGGATAGTGACAGTGTAAAGGGCAGAGAAAGACAAAGGTTTTTGAGTGTGTTCCAGAGAATTTTCTGCAGTCCAATGAGAAAAGAGGAATTTCTATACCTCAGTCTTGGGAACGAAGTGGACCAAGTGGATTAAGTGTCAATAGTGGAATATTTAGTCAAGGTGATCATTGTATCAAAAGGTTTAGGTTGGCTAAAGAAAGGAACAAGGAACAAGCAAGGAAGCCCTATTTTAACGAGATAAGAAAGGATTTAACCCAGATAAATTGGAAACAAAAGGTTGTCAGGCAAAACTGTAACTGAACAATTAAAGTTAAACTTTACATTTACAGAAGATATAGTTCTGACACAGTCAAAGTATATTCCCATGGAAGGAGAAAAGATGGGGCAAACAATTCCTGAGCTCCATGGATGACAAAATAGGTAGAGATTAAGGTGAAGAAAAAGTGTCAGGTAGGTAATACAACTGAGAACCAGACTGAATATAGAAGGTTCAGAGGGGAATTGAGAAAGTAAATAAGAGAAGCAAAGAGATGGTATAAGAAGGGACAGGCAGCTAATGTAAAAAGGAATCCAAAAGTCTTCTAGAGGCAAATAAATAGTCAATAAAGATGATAAATACAGGAGTGGGGCTAATCAGGGAAAAAAAGAAGGGAATGTATGTACCAAAACTGTGTGTATAGCTAAGGTATTAAATTGATACTCTGCATCTGTTTTTACCAAGGAAGAAGATGTTATGCAGATCATGGCGAAACAGAAGGTAATTTGGACACTGGAAGGGTTTAAAATTAAAAAGGAGGTATAGGGTGCCTCCACCTGAAGTTGGCACGGCACCAAGATTGGATAAGAAACGTTTAAGAACACTGGGGGAAGTGAGATCAGAAATTATGGAGGCACTGGCCATTATTTTTCAGACATTCTCAGACTCCGACATGGAGCTAGGAGACTGGAGAACAGCAAATATTACACCCCTGTTCAAAAAAGGAAAGCCTGAATGGTTTTAATAAGTCAGCATGCAAATAATCACTATGCATTAGTCAATATATAGACATCTTAAAATCTATTACCTCAAATTGTAGCAAATCTTCTACGTGATCCCGGACAGAAGCAGAGCTGTTGTTTATAAAATATATAAATAGTTTGAGGTAAGTGGTGTCCAATACATCGCTATACTCAAGACACACAAACTGAACTTTACTCACCACCAACATCTAGATACCTCAGCCTTGGGAATGAGGTGGACCAAGTGGATCAAGTGTGAATATTGGAACATTTAGTCAAAGGTGATCGTTGTATCAAACGGTTTAGGTTGGCTAAAGAAAGGGGCAAGGAACAAGCAAGGAAAGCCTCCCTAATTCGCCCTGCATGGTTTTTGAGGATAGAACATTAAAGGTCAATTGATTTGAGGTGTTTAGAAGGATTAAGGTATTAAGGAACTATTCCCTTTCATAAGAGAGCACAGAAGAAAGGTCATAAATCTTAAAATTAGTGCTAGGCTATCTAGGAGTTAATATCAAAAAGCCCTTCTTCAAAAGGGAGGGACAATCTGTAAATCCCCATTCCAAAAAGGCTGTTAAAACTGGGGCCTGGGGACATTATCAATCTCAGCTATGAAATGTTCAATCTTATTCATCAAAGGTATTAATGGTTACAAAACTAAAGTGAGCAAACGGATCATGTTGTAGAACAAAGAGACCTAAGGGTTCAGGTACATAATTCTTTGAAGTTTGCATCACATGTAGACAGGGTGCTTAAGAAGGCTTTTAGCATACTTGCCTTCATTGCTCAGACCTTTCAGTATAGGAGTTGGGATGTCATGTTGAGGTTATACAGTACATTGATGAGGCCTCTTCTGGAGTACCTTGCCCAGTTCTGGTTGCCGTGCTATAGGAAGGATATTATTAAGCTGGAGAGGGTTCAAAAAAGATTTACCACAATTTTGCAAGGAATGGAGGTTTGAGTTACAAGGAGAGGCTGGATAGGTTAAGACGTTTTTCACTGGAGTGTAGAAAGTTGAGGGGTGACCTTATAGAAGTTTATAAAATCATAAGGGGTATAGATAAGGTGAATGGCAAGTGTCTTTTCTCTAAGATGAGCGATTTCATGAATAGAGGTCATATTTAAGTGAGAGGAGAAAAAAATTAAAAGGGACATGAGGGGCATTTTTTATACAGAGTGTGGTTCAAGTATCGAGTGAATTTCTAGAGGAAGTGGTGGATGCAAGTACAGTAATGTTTAAAAGATATTTCGAGAAGTACATGAATAAGAAATGTTTGGAGGGATATGGGCCAAGATCACAGGTGTGACCAGTTTACTTTGGTATTATGGTTGGCATGGACTGGTTGGTCCAAAGGATCTGTTTCCGTGTTATATGACTCTATGACTCTAAGATACAGATCACCCATGATCTTGTGAATGGCAGAACAGGCTCAAAGGACTGAATGGGCTCCTCCAGTTCCAATGATTTTTCCACCCGTAAGAGAATCAACACAATCCCACACATTATAAGATGCTGAAACAATCTCTCAGAATACTCACTGATAAAATGTCTCCCATAGGTCTTCAGCCTCACTTCTCTTGTGCACATGCAAACTGTAGTGACGGAGAAAACATTCTTTGATTAGTTTTAAATGAAAACAAAATCCATAAGTTTGATTTTTTTTGTTGAAATTTACATTAAGATGGCACCCGTGACAGATTGCATCTATCAGTCCTGTGTCAGCGGGGAGACTCTTGCCTTGGAGTGAGAAGGTTGTGGGTTCAGGACCCATATGCATCATGCAGGCTGACAACCCCAGTGCAATACTAGGGGAATTCTGCACTATCAGAGGTGCCATCCTTTGTTCCCATAGGAAGAGTGGGGAAGTTCTACCCAGTGGTTTGGGCAATATTTATCCCTCAACCAGCATTTTTAAAACTGACCATCTGATCATTGGGACTTTAACACATTCAAATTGACTGCCATATTTCCTACACTACCACAGTTTATACAGATTCTTTATGCTGCTGACCAACATGTAAAAATCACCAAAATTTGGTCTCAGGGAACTGGTCCCATTGCTTACCTGTTGAGAAAGTTTGCATACAAGTGAATCATTCCACCCATGCGTCCTATCTTCTGAGAAACAAACTCTTGCAACATTTCTGAAAATCAAAAAACAGGCAAAGGAGGATGTCATTAGATAAATTCAGGGGATTTGGGAAGCTGAAGTGGGTTAAATGGAATTAAGATTAAACATGGTCGCCACAGGGCACAAGTAAGAAGGTAAGGAATGTTTACTTGACTGTCTCCAATGAAGTGGTTCCAAAAACTGCCAAGGCTCAATCTTAAATCAGCAGAATAGTAAAAACATATGTGGGCAATCTTTGGACCCATGCCTCATGCCCCCCCAACCTTAATGTCCTAAGGCACTGGTTGCATGGGGTCCACTTACCAAGGGAAGTGTGATTTGATAATCACTCCACTCTCTTGGAAACTGCAGGCTCCTTGTCAACACAGAAATTTCAGCCTTCATCTAGTCCACCACCCTTTCATCTGCATTATAAGTTGTGGTAGAGTAGGAAGGTGATGGTATGGACAAACGATAGGAGCAACAGGTTGGGGACAGAGTGTGGGAAACAGAATCATGATGGTGCAAGAGGCCATTCAGTCCACTGGGACTGCACCAGGTCTATTACCTAGTGCTAATTTCCTTTCTTTTCTCTTTATTGCTGCACACCATTTCTATCCATATTTGAGCCATCTTGAATGCTCAAATGAATGTTCTACCACATTTCTGGGCAGTTCATTCCATTTCCTAAATACTTGCTGAGTGAAAAAGTTTTTCCTCACTTCCCCCTTACTTCCTTTGCATAGCACTGTCGTCCATACTTTGGATACTTCATACATTTAGCTTATGTATTAAAAACACTTTACCCAAGTGCTCTTGGCAGTGAGTTGGACAAAAAGACACAGAATTCAGTTTGTGGTTCAACACCATTTTATTAACAAAATATTCCTTACGAAAACACTATATAAGCATTTCCCAAATTCCCACAATATTTACTCTATTTAGCTCTGTCTGTCTGAGAAAGGATATTGCCCACAAAGATCCACATGTATGAGCAGGGCCTTTGGAATCTCCTTCCTTTTCGATGCAAGACTGGTTCTCTTACATGAAGGTGTGTCTTGCAGGTAGAACTTTTCTTTCCCTATCTCTCTCTTCCCCAGTGGTCAGAGTTCCACTGCTGGGCCAGGTCAAGTCTTCATTGTGTCTTCACTGTGGGCCTGGCTTCCAGGTATGTATATTTTTATTCCCCCTTGCACCAGATCTTACAGAATGTTCTGCGGCCTTTGAACAATGGAGACTGAACTGGGATCAAATTATCCATTGGGGTCATACCTACACCTTTCACTGTTGCCACTTCAGGAGGTGTAAAGTGCACATACTCAGGCAATCAAGATGCCAAAAAGTCTGATGGATACTGCTCCAATACACAATCCTCAGGCTGGTTGAAACTGATTCCCCTTGAACCTTAGTAACCTCCTTGAGCTTGGTTTCCATGTTCTTTGCAGCCAATAGCTGATGGCTGCTGTTTAATTTAGTTGGGCCAATTTTCTATCAGGCCTGATTTTTCTGGCTGTAGGCCAATTTAAAATGTTCAATTTCGGTCTGATCAATCTATGCCCTCCCATTCTTTTTTTCTTTTACAAGCAGAAACGTTTTCTCCCTATCTATTCTACCCAGCTCGCTCCTGGTTTTGAAAACTGCTATCAGATCTCTTCCCAGCCTTTTCCTCTGCAAGGACAGCCGTCCCAACTTCTTCAAACTACCTCCATAACTTTAGTTTCTCGTTCCTGGAACCATTCTTGCAAATTGCTTCTGCACTCTCTCCTACGTATTTACATCTTCCCTATAATGTGGAGCCCAGAACTGTACACAGTACTCCAACTGAGGTTTATCAAATGTCGGGAGAGAGGGAATGGGGAAGGCTGGGTTGGGGTGAAGGAGGCAGGAATGGGGAAAGCTAGTGTCTGGGGGTGAGTGCAGAGTACGCTGACTCTAACTTGAAGCACCAAGGGGGCCAATCATCCATCCTTCCCCCGGCCCGACCTCTCTCACCAGGAGCCGCTCCTCCTCCACCACAGCTGTCCGCCTTGGCCGCAGCTAGGATCGCCCTGCCGGCCCGCGACAGCTCGCCCAGGGCCCGCAGCAGCGCCTCTTCCCCGGGGCCCGGCTCCCGCTCCATCACTGTCTGGCTGCACCTTACTGAGGGAGAGGCGGGATCTGTTTCCGCAATTTTACTCCACTCTGTTTCTCTCCTGGTGGCAGTTAAGTGTATACGTTGGTTCCTCTTTATTTCCCCTCCCCCTCTCTTTCCTGCAAGTTTCACTTCTGTATATTTTCTAAAATGTTCAGCTGCAGTTAAAGACCAGATTAAACAACCCCTTGCTTTCGGTGGATGGTCTTATGCAGTGGTAGGGGGTTTGATCCCCAGGTCAAAGCCTGCTTTGTTTCTGGTGAAGGGGAGAATAAATCTTACAGCACACGACCTATCGAGTCTGTGCCAGTACCTTGCGTATTTAACACCAAGCACTGGATTATGCGGAAAGGTCACCGGACCCAAACGTTAACTCTGATTTTTTTCTTCACAGATACTGCCAGACCTGCTGAGCATTTCCAGCAACTTCTGTTTTTGTTACTGGATAATACGGTTTTGAGAAGTGCTATACCGATGCAAATGTGTACTGACTGCACTCTCCTAGTTTTTTTTGCCGAGTTTTCCTTTTCAGAAGATCTGTTAAGTAACGATTCTCATCTCCCTCAAGTTCTGTTGCTAGTTTCCTACCTTATATCTGGTCCCTGATATCACAACAGTGAGACTGCATGAGAGACAGTAGGAACTGCAGATGCTGGAGAATCTGAGATAACAAGGTGTAGAGCTGGATGAACACAGCAGGCCGAGGAGCAGGAAGGCTGACGTTTCGGGCCTGGACCCTTCTGCTCCTCTGATGCTGCTTGGCCTGCTGTGTTCATCCAGCTCTACACCTTGTTCTCTCTAGTGAGACTGCATGGATCATTTATTCCCCCTCGAAATATACATTATTCATAAAATTTGTAAAAAAAGTCATAAAAACATTTCAACTTGAAGCTTATGCATTGTGTGAAATGGGATGCATTACAAGACTAAAGAAGCATTTTGCAGTCTAGGCTCAGCCCAGGGTTTGGCAGTAGTATGCATAATCTTTCTGGCCATCTGAAGAACACTACCAAACAACATCTTTCCAAACAACAAGAGATTTCCCAAAATGTGTGATACAATAACTTTTTGTCCTGGTAAGACTGGTAATAATTGACACATTATAATAACAAATTGAATTGTGGTGAGTAAATTCCTACCAATCAGTTTTGGGTTTAAATGTGAATTGAATGGTACTCTGTAGAGATGTCACATTGTGGATATTTCTGTCTACACTAAGCATATTTAAATTCTGATTGCCATTCCATGGCATCACTTCTGTTATTACTTAAAATGTTCCAAATATCTAAGACTTAATTGACAGCTCTATCAAAGTATAGGTAAGATATCTCAATTCAGTCCTAGCACACTCAAGGAGAATTAGGTGTTTAGAAATAAATTCATCTTTTGGGGTGGGACTAGATTTCCTACTGTTTGCCTAGGAAGAAACATCACCTTACACTGCTGTGAGAAACTGAAGAAAAAAATGGATGCAGTACAGCTGTCTGTCAAGTGACAGAAATTATAACTAATATTCAGGTGTCAAAATGAAAAGTTCACTCCTTTCCAAAACAAACTCTAATATTTATACTACATGAATAATAGAGGTGTCTAGGTAAGTCAGATGGAAGATAGATTCAGAAAAACGCCAACAACATGGGTTCAATTCCTGGAACAGACTTGGACCTTCATTGTGCCCAGTCATTAACATTGGATTAATGTTGAAATGCAACTAATATCATTACATAAATAAATTTAGCAATACAACTTAATTTTATAGTGAACCTTGACCTAATAAAACACCCCAAGGCATTTCACAGGAGCATTATTAAACGAAATAAGACAGTGAACCATGTAACAAAACATCAGAGTAGATAATCAAAAGCTTGGTTAAAGACATGGATTTTAAAGAATGCTTTAAGGTAGGAAAGCAAGTATTCCAGAACTTGGGCTTTGATACTATTGTTCCACCATAGTTGCTGTACCTTCAGTTGCCTAGACCACAACAAGTCTCAGTTAAAGGAGCACTGATATTTCAGAAGGTTGTTGGAATGGATGAGCACACAAAGTTAGGGAATGGCCAGGCCATAGAGAGACTTGCAAATTTAACAACTCAAGATTGAGCATTATTGACGCCCTGTGGGACATCAACCACAGCAGATTCATATTCCAACACAATCTGCAAACTTGTTGCCCGGCATATTCCCCCATTCGACCATTACCATCAAGCCACAGGATTAGCCCTGGTTTAACCGAGAGTGCAGGAGGCATGTCAGGAGCAGCACTAGGCACACCTAAAAATTAAACATCAACCTGGTGAAGCTACCAAACAGCATAACCAGCAAGTGATGGATAGAGCTAGGTGATCCCACAACCAATGGATCAGATCAAAGTTCTGCAGTCCTGCCACATCCAGACGTGGATGGTCGTAGACAATTAAACAGCTCACTGGAGGAGGAGAAGGCTCTCCAAATATCCCTATCCTCAATGATGGAACAGTTAATCACATCAAGTGCAAAAGATAAGGCTGAAGCATTCACAATAATCTTCAGGCAGAAGTACCAAGTGGATGATCCATCACAGCCTCCTCCAGTGGTCTGCAGCATCATACATGCTAGTCTTCAGCAAATTCAGTTCATTCCACGTGATGTCAGCAAACAGTTAAGGCAGTTGATATTGCAAAGTCTATAGGCCCTGAGAACATCGCAGCAATAGCACTGAAGACTTACGTTCCAGAACTTGCCAAATTATTAGCCAAGCTGTTACAGTACAGTGACAACAATGGCATCTACCTGACAATGTGGAAAATAGCCCAGTATGTCATATACACAAAAGGCAGGACACATTTGCACAAAGTCCTATTTCACTAATAACCTCTGTTCATTGTCCAACATCATCTCCAACTCAAGAAAAGTTTTGATTTTAAAATGCTCCTGACATGCCTCCTGCACTCTCGGTTAAACCAGGGCTAATCCTGTGGCTTGATGGTAATGGTCGAATGGGGGAATATGCCGGGCAACAAGTTTGCAGATTGTGTTGGAATATGAATCTGCTGTGGTTGATGTCCCACAGGGCGTCAATAATGCTCAATCTTGAGTAGTTAAATTTGTTCAAGTTCTGTACCATTTAGGATGGTGATGGTGCCACATAATATAATGGAGGGTATTCTCAATATGAAGGCAGAACTTTGTCTCCATAAGATCTGTGCAGTGATCACTCTTACCAATACTGTAATGGACAAATGCATCTGCAGCAAGCAGATTAGTGAGAATGAGGTCAAGTATGGTTTTCCCTCAGCACCTGCTGCAGATCTAGTCCAACAGGTATGTCCTTTAGGACCCCACCAATTCAATCAGTAATGCTGCCCTTGATGATGAACATTGAAGAAATCCACCCAGAGTTCATTTTGTGCCCTTGTCACCCCCAGTGCTTCCTTCAAGTATGTTCACCAAGGAGGAGTACTGATTCATTAGCTGAGGGAGGACAGTATGTGGTAATCAGCAGGAGATCTCCTGAATCCATAAGACTTCACTGTGTCTGGAGTCAATGTTGAGGATTCCCAGAACAACTTCATCCCGACTGTACCACAGTGCCGCCATCTCTGCTGGGTCTGTGCTGCAAGCGGGACTGGACTTATCCAGGAACGATGATGATATTGTCAGGGGCTTTGACTGTAAGGTATGATTTCATGAGTAAGAATTTGTCAGGCTGTTGTGTGACTAGTCTGTGACAGAGCTCTCCCAATTTTGGCAGGAAGAAAGACTTTACCAGGTCAACAAGGCTATTTTTCCCATGACAACAAGGTGCAGGGCTGGATGAACACAGCAGGCCAAGCAGCATCATAGGAGCAGAGAGGCTGATGTTTCGGGCCTAGACCCTTCATCAGAAAAGGGGGAGGGGAAGGGGGTTTTGAAATAAATAGGGAGAGAGTGGGAGGCGGATAGAAGAGGGATAGAGGAGAGGATAGGTGGAGAGGAAACAAACAGGTCGAAGAGGCGGGGATGGAGCCAG